ATATTTTCTGCCGAAACACGAAGACAGATGTAAAATGTATGGATAAACAGATGCAGGTCCGGTCAGGGTACTGGGAATGTTCAGTCGGGCTTGAGCTTTTATGCTTTTATTCCTATTCACTGAGAATATCCCCTCGGTCCGCATCAGAGAAATGCAATCAGAAAGAACTAAAGACAGAGGGAGAGAGAGAGAGAGAGAGAGAGAGAGAGAGAGAGAGAAAGAGAGAAAGAGAGAAAGAGAGAGGTAGGGAGGGAGGGAGATAGATAGATAGATAGAGAGAGAGAGAGAGAGAGAGAGAGAGAGAGAGAAAGAGAGAAAGAGAGAAAGAGAGAAAGAGAGTGGTAGGGTGGGAGGGAGATAGAGAGAGAGATAGAGAGATAGAGAGAGAAAGAGAGAGAAAGAGAGAGAGTGAGAGAGAGAAATATTGAAAATGAGAATATAAAAGGGCGAGAGAAAATATCAAAAGAAAACAAGAAAATAAGAAAGATATTGAAAGAAAAGAAGATTGTAAGAGAGTGGGTAGATAGGGGAGATTGAGAAAGAGAGAGTGTGAGAGAGAAAGTTTGATGTAACAAAGATGATAATGAAACGATAAGTATTCTCGACCAAGCATTAACCAATTTGTAGAAAAAGTGACTAAGAGTGATTTTGAGAGAAAGAACGACAGTAAGAGAGCTGATAGGGGGTAGTGAGAAAGAGAGAGTATGAAAAAGATAGTAAGATATAACAATGATGATAAAAAAATATAAGTATAATCAACCAATACTTAAATTATTGTTAGCGTAACAATGAGACAGACACTGAAAGAAAGATAGTAAGAATGTGGAAATGGGGGGAAGAGAGAGAAAGAGAGAGAGAGCGGAAGAGAAAGAGAGAAATATTGAAAGTGAGAAAATAAAAGGGCGAGAGAAAAATTGCAAAAAAAATCAGAAAATAAGAGAGAAGAAAGGAAGGTTCTTACCCAGTAAGGAAGTGGGTGGATAAGGGAGAGTAAGAAAGAGAGAGAGTGTGGAGAGGTAGTAAGATGTATCAACGATGACAATGAAACGATAAGTATTATCGACCAAGCATTAATTAACCAATTGGTATAGGAAGTAAGTGAGAGAATGAGAGATAGATAGATAGATAGATAGATATAGATAGATAGATAGATAGATAGATAGATAGATAGATAGATAGATAGATAGAGAGAGAGAGAGAGAGAGAGTGGTGTGTGAGAGAGAGAGAGAGAGAGAAAGAGAAAGGTAAATGAAGAGCGTAAAAGTGAAAAGAGAAAATAGTAAGTGGGAGTAGGAAAAGTAGTGAGAGGATGTTAAGGGGAGTGATAAAATCAGAAGAAAAAGTGAGGCTAGTGAAGGGAGATTTTACTCTGTGGATATATAGTTTTAGATATTTTGTAACGTCGCTTATACTTTAAGCTTCTGCTAAAGCACAATAATATCACTGGGATGAAGGGACTTGACGCTTTGACAATCAGATCCTGGGAGTCAGCAAGCGTACGAATAAATGGAGAACAAGATAAAGCCATCAATGGCGTCCGAGGGACGATTGTATTCAAAACGGTCTCCCCCTGGGACTCACGGTTGGCCGAGCTCCCTTTATAAAAATGCAAATGTTCCTATAAGGGTCGGCTCGAGGAGGGAGATCCGATGATGGGGTGAGTTCCACCGCCCGAGGGGTGGCGAAGGGGTGAAATATGGTGGACGGGAATTGGGCAGATCTCGGCGAGTTGATGGATGGTCCACTCGGTGGTCTATTAAATTAGCGGCGGACAGTAGGCCTGTCTTTAGTGCGTCATTAAACCAATCATCCCTCTCTCACCATATAAACCACTCATTACTACTTTAACCCCTTTATTGATAATATTCCGGAAAATTGGATTTTTTTCATGGACCGGTCGTTTCAATTCATACAACAATGAAAAGTTCCTTTTTTGTATATTGTTTATGTTTATACAGAACAGACTACTTTAATTGTAATAAGTAATTTTAATCAACTTTTTTTCTCTCTCAGTATCTGAGAGTTGATGAACATGTAGTTTGGTCTTTCCGATAATTTAGATCTGTCACACACAAACAGGAAATTCTCAAGGAAAATGCCTGAGGGAATCCCCAAGAATAGATGCGGTCTATTACAATCAATCTTTTTTTTCTTGCTATGTAATAAATTGGTAGTTAGGTTTTTTAATCGTTAATTTTTGATAACAAATTTTACACGTTTTTGTTATCCACATTCAAAATAATTTATTCCACAGGTCCTGGGTGCTTTTTAAACCAGCATAAAAACTTTACACTCCTATTCCTCTCGCAGTAGGAAGTTGATTGATGCTGTTTTAGTTGAGAAGGTAGTTTTCGACACAGAATATACATAGAAAGAGGAGAGTCTTCAAACAAGGAAAGGGATGGGTTTTCAACTTTCAACAACTTATTTGAAAAACTTTTACAGCCCGGAATCTCTGAGAACCAGTTTCATTCTGTGCCAAAAGGATTGTAATTTAATTTAAAAAATATTTAAGCTAATTCTTGTAAATGCGATCAGGTCGGATAAGAGTTTGAATTTGTGGATCTTCTTTCTTTACATCAGTTATTTTTTATTTGGTTTTGCTATTAAAAAGGCATTATTGGTACATATTTAAAGATAAATGGTTTTATTTCCTATTTGTAAACATTTATTGGTAATTGAAACCGATTCTAAGTATATATTCAGTTTATTATAAACGATTTTTTGAAATAGCAGATTTGTGTCATCGTCAGGATTCAAACCCACGAATTATATTTATTTCTTTAGACTTATTATTTATATATTTATATGGATAAAAGCTTTTACAAAACAAGAAATACTGATATTAACGAATTACATTAAAAAACAGCTGGTCAAGAGAAGGTTCTTAATTTCAATTTTTAAATTTAAAAATGCCATTTAATGCTGAGGACGTTGCGCGTGGTGTGGCACTTATTGATGATGGCGTTCCGGCTATTAGCCATCGGATTTCCATATGAAACTCTGCGAGACGCCGTTAGACGTTTTCCAGAAACTTGGTCCTACCATAGAAGGCCCTGTTCTGGACGCCTTAGGGTAATCGAACCACAGAATGACCGTTTTTTTGACTTTGGGAATTTGCGCAACCGGCAACTTACTGTTGTTCAAGCGATTCACCAGCTCCAGGAAGTTCGAGGTGTCCAAATTTCTGAACGCTTTGCTCGAAGAAGATTAAATCAATGTGGACTGATGGCTTTTTGCCTAGTAAGAAGAGCAGAATTTACCAGAACACACGGAGTTACACGGCTCCCATTTGCTCGGGAACACAGCCATTGCTATTTTGACGATTGGTCTGCTGTACTTTTCAAAGATGAGTCTAGATTTGCTCTACGATCTCCAGATAGGCGTGAAAGAGTGTGGAGAATGCGAAATGAAAGGTATGAAGCCTATAATTTTTCCCATAGCCAACCTTTTCAAAGTAGCTCAGTGATGGTGTGGGCGGAAACTTCAATAAAGAGAAGTACAGAGTTGGTTGTTGTTCGTGGAGGGTCTTTAACGGCCACCCGTCATGTGGATGAAATATTGGAACATCATACGTTGACCATCCTCGATGAAATCAGCGACGATCCTAATCTAATGCACGATAATCCCGTCCACATGTCGGTCGCATAGTTCAAACTTACCTTCAACCGCATAACATCATAACCGCAAGACCAGCCTGTTCTGCAGGCTTGAACCCCATCGAACATTTATGGGATAACCTCAAAAGATGGATAAGAGCACGTCCAACACTTCCTGGTACACTCCACGAACTTGAAAGGACTCTTCGTGAAGAATGGGCTAACCACCAGCAAAGAGACATATCCAGACTGGTAGAAATTATGCTGATTCGTCTTCGAGATGTAAATAAGGTAAGAGGAGGAAATATGCGATATTGGAATAATAATTAAAAGTATAATTAAAACAAATTTCATTGCCTGTTCTCCAGTCTTGAACCCCATCGAACATTTATGGGATAACCTCAAAAGACAATTAACAGCACGTCCATTACTTCCTGATTCACTCCTTAAATCTTAAAAGGACTCTTCCTGAAGAATGGGCTAACCTCCAGACAAAGAGGCTGGTAGAAAGTATGCCGAAAGCGTCTTCGAGATGTAAATAAGGCAAGAGGAGAAAATATGCGATTTTGGAATAATAATTAAAAGTATAATTAAAACAAATTTTATCTGTTCTTTTTTTTCATTTTCCTTAGCAATTTACTTTTTTTCCTTTTTTAGATAAAGACTCAATTATTAAACCTTAAAAAACGTGAAACTTTGATATACAACGCAAATTATATTACAAGTGGGTGGAATTTTTTGCCTGTCAGTGTACATGAAGGTATGTAAATGTTACAGATTGAAGTTTGTGGATAGATTTATCAAATTAATTGTTAAACTAAACAAATTAGTTTTTATTTTTTTAAATGTCCAAGGAGGAGTTAATCAAGCTTAAAACATTACTTGTTTGAAGTTGAAAGTTTGATTAGGGAAGTACTTTTTTAAAAACTTAGAAAATGAACTGCGGAAGTCCTTAATATAATTATTATTTGAGAATAAACCGTTTTCTTTTGTCCTTTTCTCGGGGTTTGCCAATAAACATGTTTTTAACTCCTGGAAGGTTATTATCCTGTAATAACTCGTTCAACAATCCTGCCAATATTGATTGACGGGCGGGAAAAATCTCCCGAGGGGGGGGTTGTTTTTCCCGGTTTATGTGTAAATTATTCGGATGTAGGATGTAAATATGCGATGTAAGTCAAATGTAAACATGAGCTGCGGGGTGTATCGATCCGAGAGAGGAGAAGATAGTAAATAGAAGGGGAATTTCAATTGCGGCCAAAGGAAAACAATTCTAGGGTTGGATATCATCACCTTAATACAGAAAGGAAGGTCGTCCGAGGAGGGGGACGAATGCGCACAGCATCATGGCGTTTCGGTATCCCATTGGACGTCGAAAAGCGGCGGTGGGGTTTGTTTTGGGCGTGGTTTCGAGGGATGATCAGATTCGAACCAACAGTCGGTGCCATGATCCAGCCATGAGCTCATTCCTTACGAACACGCCTTCGTACCATCAGGGAGTCCTCGTCGACCCCAAATTTCCGCCAACGGAGGAATATTCCCAGAGCAACTACATCAGTTCGGACTTTTTCAATCCTCATTATGGAGGCGGGTACGGCCATCCCCAACCGTACAACGTACCGCCCCAGTACGGCTACGGCAACTACTACCATATGCCTCAGGAGGTGCACCACATCCCGCCGGAAGGGGTGCCGCCCCCGAACCCGGGCATGCCCCAGTGCCCGCCGCCACAGCCGGCCAGCGACCTCAGCCCGAAGTCGTCGTCCCCGCACGGCGGCCAGCAAAATAACGGCGATGATTCCGACCAAGACACCATCGAGGAAGATGAGCTGCTCATGATGGACGACAACAGTTCTCCCCTCACGATCGACGAAAGTTCGGAATCGGGGGATAGGGTCATCTATCCGTGGATGAGGAAAATTCACGTCGCCGGCGCAGGTAAGGACCCAATTTTATTTTCTAATAATTTAGCATATTTATAACCCCTCCAGGTACATATTTACAAAACGGACTAATAATAAAATCCACTTTTACACAAAAATTGAATAGTCTTACATGACTAAAACCATCTCGAAGTCCCAAATCCTCCTGCCTTACAGTAAACATTTAAATTTACATATTATAATCATCTAGTAAAGTAATTGAATCTCCTATAAGTTTTAAGTAACGAAACCTGTAACACTGCTATAGAAATATATAAGCACCCCAAACAATACTCGTCAAAATCGGCGCTTATTTATGTCCATTCCATTTGGTTATGTTATACTATTAAAACATTAAATGTTTTCTTTCCCGCTGCATATTTTTTTAAACATTTTAAAACACATTTCACAATGTTCTGATTAAATATTACATATTGATTAAAAAAATCCTTCCAAAGAGAAGAGTCAAGGTTCATTTAAGAAACTAGGCAGGCCACCGGTGGGATATTGGTAAAAAAAAATTGTCAACTCCATTGTAAACCAAATAACTCATTGTAAGGCCTTGTTTGAAATTCATTATTTTTTTTAAACAATATGAAGTTTTTTTAAAGAAAACGTTATTGAATAAATAATTGAAATTGATGATGATGATGTCTGAAGAAAATCAAATTTGACTCATATTATTATGTTAAATGAGTTTTTTAATAATTCATAGTATTAGGCATATTTGAAATTATTTAATAACTCCAAGAACAAAACGATTTATAATGAGAATTAGAGCAAAAGCAACCCACCAAACTACTACTACAATAATTACTAAAAGAATTGTTAGGACAACACACACAACCGTAAGCAATCAGGACTAAACCATTTATGATAAGGAAAATTATTTTTTGATAAGAGACACCTAGTAATAGTAGACTTAAAGTCGAAAAAATCAGGTAAAAGTCAAAAATACTTGCGTACAAAGACGGTGTACCGGTTCGCCAAAATAGGCGAAAGACGGTTCAAAGATATTTTGTTTTTGAAATGTCATTCAGCCATTTTTATAACAAATACATATTACAATTTTTAAACTTTACATTTTCTAAAAATAATTTGATAAGTACAGTATAAAGTAATTTAAAATAATAAGTAGACAAGATCAGTACACCAAAATACTACTGACTGCTACCAAATAATGTTCTGTCTATCATACTCATGAGTAAAGCAATCAAGATGAAACGAGATATGACAGCAGAAAAGTTAATTTATTAAACTAATTTTTGATTCGCCTTTTTGTCGACCAAAAATCGAAAAACGGGAGATAAACGTTCAAAAACCATTATAAAAAGTATACCCTGGTTCGTCAAAACGGATCAAAAATGTTTAAAAACATCCTATTTTTGATAGGCCATTAATCCATCTTTACAAAAAATGAAAACAGTCGAATTTTATGTTTTAATAAGTTCAACAAAAAATCAGAAGAACTAGTAAGTACTGAAAGAATTTATCAAGTCTAATAAACTCAACCGTGAAGCAATAACTATAATATCAAGCAACCGTCAAATAACATAAAACCAGACATGACAAAAAAAAATCATTTGATAAAAGACAGTTCGACAGTGTGGATTAATAAACAAAAATTTTAGAAAAAATTAACAAAACCTACCCGATTTGCCGAAATGGACCAAAATTGTTTCAAAGGAATCCTGGTTTTGAAATGCCGTCCAACCATTTTTATAACAAATTAACATTACAATTATAATATTCCATATTTGAAATACTTTAATAAGTACAATAATAAACTAGCAAAGCTAATATGGTGATACATTAGACAAAACGTCAAAAATAGTATTAAACCTGTTCCTGAGTTCGCCAAAATGTACCAAAGAGGTTTCGAAGATATCCGATTTTGAAATTCCATTAAGTAATTTTTATAACTAATTAAAAATGCAGTTTTTTAAATTCTATATTTATGTAATTTAATAAGTACAATAATATAGAAATCTACAGTAATAAGTAGATCAGAATTCCAAACTACTATTTATAATATTTAAATTCAAACTCTACAATATCTCAGTAAATTTAATTTTAAAAAGATTAATTTTTGGCATTAAATAAAAAAAGGCAACAACTTTATCTTAAATGCCAGATCTACATTTAATTCAGGAAGTTTTATATTACAGTAAAATATTTGTTTGCTAAACTGATTTCAACTATTTTACTGAAAATACATTAGAGTTATTATAGATAATTGTTTATTACGTTTACCTTATTCTCAGCTTCCAAATTAATTACTACATCACCTACTTGTTGGTACTTACAAACAATACAAATACACAGTTACAAACATATTTTTTACATTGTTGAAGATTTGTTATAATATTAAATGAAGTGACGTTACCATAATTTGTTCCTTATGATAATAATTTTAAAAAATGTAAAAAAAATCATTTTTCATCCATTGTATATTAATACTGGTATTTTTAATAATGTTATAAAATCATGATTTTATCTTTCGTTTAATTGTTACTGAAACAGTTTCAAAATGAAAATAAATAAACCAGACTAATGAAGAAAAATATATAGTGTCGACAGTGAGATGCAAAAAATGTATGATAGTAGTCTGTAAATAAAGTAGAATATCGCAAATTGAATCCGTCGAGAAGATGCGATTTTATTTATTTATTTGTAATTTTTTGAGGCATCTTCATAAGGTCTTCGTGATGGAGTATCCTATTTTGTGTTCACCAAGCGGAGAGAATGATGATATAAATCGCCGACAACTTGGTGAACCCAAGAACATTGAACATACCTCAAAAAATTGTGTGAATACTGTCAGGTCAATAAAAACTCCAAATGTAATTAATTAATTTACTAAGGACTTGATAAAAAAAACATTATCTCCGTTACTATGCATTTATTTTCGAAATTAATATCGTATCGCTCGAGTTACCTATTGGACCATACTGATAGCCGTACCCCTGGAGCAAACCGAAAAAATTTAAACCCTGGAAGCAATGAAAAGTTTCAACAACTTATTATGCTCTGATGAGATCTCAGAGAAATAAGCATATTTCACAAAAACTGATTTGTTTAATGAGCTTTTCAATGGTATGCTTGGTAGAATTGATATTTTCTTTTTTCAAGGGGTATGGTAGATTAACCCCCCCCCAAAAAAAAAGCCGTGTTTCATTGGAAAGTCAAGGTTTTGAGCGAAAGGAAAATTTAGTTCCCGTTACAGACCACACATTAAAACTTAAAAAAAACTTTTGTACACTGTTATAATCAATTTAGGGTCTAATATCACCCATTGTTTTACAAATTTCATATCGAACATAATAGCTGACTCTAAATCTTCATAACTAACTTCGACAGAATTTAAATTTTACACTGAAAAATAGTATAAAATGTATGTAGTAATAAAGTATATATTAAGTTTCAAATATTCAACGTAACAATAATAACTAAAACTAAAATTTCAATAACAAAACATTCCCTGAAAAAGAACTAGCAATTAACCTTTTCCAGCTTGTAGTTCATTAACATCTCCTTGTCTTCCTGCCAGTTTGTCGAATAACATTCTTAAATTTGTAAAAACAGTGTTCTTCTTTTATAATAATCCGTTGCTTTTACGTTTTAACATTATTTTTTTCTGTTTTGTTTTTAGGGTTTCTTTTAGAATGTGCTTATATAATGCATTAATACTTTTAAGAATACCATTCCGCCATTTAATTTATTAATCCTGTGAAATTCTTGCGCTAGTTTTATACCTCATGTTACTCCTCTTAAGAATTTAAATTTTATAATATTATTTTTTTAATACGAGTAGTATAGTTACACCTAATTTAATAGGTTAAGGGTCGAAAAACTACATTGGTCAATCGTTCTTTGCTGTTATTTTTCTTTCTTTCTCGCATTGTATTCATACTAATTAATTTTAATGACGCTGCACCCAAGTTTTTTGCATTTCAGTTACATAGCATGTATAAGGTAGTAGACTATCCTATTACCAATCACTCTATATTTTTTAGTTCTATCACTTCTTCCGGGCCTCATCCGTTAAAAATCAAATATATACTAAACACAAAGTATACACGTTTAAAATCATGGTACTATAGTTAGCATTCTCATTACCCCAGAATACTCGATATTCCACGGGGTGTCTCTCTAAACAAGCATCTCCATTCTTTAATTTGTAAGTATTCCAATAATATTCTACTTCTTTTTACTCACACAAAAGTGTATTCAATAGTTCTTCCGTTTATGCTAAATTTCAACTACAAAAGATGTAAAATGTTCACTAGACAACATTTTTTTCTTCTTCAACTATTGCATAAAGTAAAACATTAATTAGTCCTTTTGATAAACGAATATATAAATTATAGTATTTATGTTTCTTATCTATTCCTTTTATATTTATTTTCTTTATTATGTTTTTAATAATATAAAAATCAATAATAATATAATCGAATTTGTAAAAATGAGAATACATCCAGCCATCCATTTAGTATAATTCATTTTTAGTTTTCATTTTTTCAATTTAACTTTCTACTGCTCTTTAAAACTAATTTTTATTATTCAAGTAACCATTTGAATAAACCTTTACGTTGAAATTTCTTACTATCATTTTATTGTCTTGTTCCAATTTATACATTTCCAAATAAATTTTTTATGAATGTTTTTTTACATTTCTATATTAACACTTAAATTAAAAGTTACTTTTTAAAGCCTAATTTAATAGCAATATATGCAGAATGATAATATATTAAACATCAATTGTCAATATATGTTTGACCCTTGTTCTGAGCACAATTGTGTAAATATCAATTTAAATCGTTTACGTATTACATGAAAAATTGTTGATGTGTACTAATGTCCAACAAAATATATAATTTAATTTTACTTCATACTCTAGCAAGTTTTAACTGTGTGCTTTTACTTGCCGTTAGTTCCCTTGGAAATCCGTACATTCGATATTTTCATGTTTATTTTTCTCGTTTGTCGGTTAATTCATTTAATACAGTTCATTTG